GTTTCCATCTCATTCAGCACATAATAGATGCATTGATGCTGCCCAGCTCGTCCACAAAATGAGAGGGCTTAGAAAGAAACTGGGCTCAGATGGGCGGGCTCAGCAAGTTCTTTTAAGCTTGGTCATCATCATTCGAGCAACGAAGAGAAGATGAAGGTCAACCCAACTGGAATATTTTAATGCAGGGAGCCCTCAACTAGCATCCTCATTGGTGCGCACTCACCTTAATCGATATGTTCACAAGAAAAAAATGTTAGATGTACAAAGAAACGTTGCATTGCATGAAAGTAGACGTTATAATTTGGAGGAACACGGACACGATTGCAATCAAGACCAGACTCTGTCCTGCAGCTATGCATTCTATGTGATCTCTAAGGTCCTATTTTCTGTTTTGGTGATCAAGAATGTCTATAGGCAACCCTCGGAGCAGGCTGTTGTCGGATGATTTGGACTTTGATGGAGTTGATGATGTCGCAATTAATACGAGGGGCTAATACCATGAAAAACCCCAAATTAGTACACTTATGATAAATTTATCCTAAACAAATTTTTTGGCTATCAAAAACCCCAAACTGGTACACGCATGACAAATATACTCCAAACTATTTTTTGACCACCAAAAACTCCAGATTTGTACACTTATGACAAATTTACCATTTAATAAATTGGATTAATATCACGAAAAATCACAAAAAATGGTATACCTATGACAAACGAAGGGGTAAAACTCCAAATTGATATATTCGTCAACTGCCACGTGTCATCCAACTCAACAATTTGACAATAAAATTGAACAAAAACTATCGAAGGGTAAATTTATCACAGGTGTACGAGTTTGAAATTTTTGGTGGTCAAAAAATTAGTTTGGGGTAAATTTGTCATAAGTGTACCAGTTTGAGGTTTTTCGTGATATTAATCCTAATACGAATGTGTATCCTACAGATCAAACTACTCGATGAGCATGCCGTAGAAAGATAGAGACTCATCATCCAACTTTTTACTTTTCCATATTCATTTTTAGGACAACTTATGAAAAGCCTTTGTAAATATTTTAGGATATTCAAGAGAGAGAAAAAGAGAATCAATAAAGACTACATTTTTACTCAATTGGCTTAACTTTATAAGTTATTAGAGGAGGATATTTATACCCAAACAATATACATAGGAAAGGAAATTAGCTATCTTAGAGAATCACGAAATATTAAATAAGGTCCCTAATATCTAATAATATCTCTAGCGATATTCTCTAGCAATGAAATCTCCAATCTCCATAAATATACTTCATCACTCCCCCTCAAGCTGTAGCACCCAGCTTGCATATGACTAGTGCAACTTTCTTCGAAAGTCTGTGATCATATGCCGTGTGAGCCGGACCTTACACCAAACAAATCTGATTTGACAAACGCTAAAGCGACACATGCTTAGAAAGTTGACATATTTCTCATACAACCTTGATAGAATCGCATGAACACCAACTTCAATTGCAGCAAACTAATCTGCATCACCCCACAGTGTTCATCTTTGGCTACTTGATGAAGGCGTGCTTGACTTCGACGCTCACAGCTACCTAGATACTTGATGACATCACTTGTGACGCCCTCAGTTTGTCACCTCTAACGCTGTTAATGTATTCTTTCACTTTTTATGCATGCGGAAGCGTGTAAAATCAAAGAATAGCTTGAGACATGTAAAATTTAAAGGGACACACGCGTAAAATATAAACGTGGCGATCTCATTTTCATTTCTTATTTATATACTTAGGCGACAAAGGTCGGGGTACATTGGGGAAACAAAAAGGGTCCTGCCGTCCTTGACTACACCAAAAGTTCCGTCAGTCATATCCTCCCAACCTATAAGCACATATGTACAACATCGCCTATACATCACCCACAATATGTCCAAAAATCACTACCTGGTCTCCAAAAATGCTACTCCACCATCCTCCGGAAATCAGGATCCACAAACTCAGTAATATGACTGGAGAAATCGACAGGGGCACTGTAGCTAATCGAGGTGGAGGCAGACAGGATCGGCATGGCTACTAATCTGAAAGAGGATAGTTGACAAGCAGTGAGCATAAACTCGGCAAATAAAATGTTTACCAATGTATACTATATAAACCTATCACTGCACATGCGAGGAAAACTCCAAATATAAAATATATGAAATCATTTTTAAATCAACTTGTCTGAGTACCTTCTTCAAAACCAAAGTAGTAACTTGGCATAAAAAGGAAGACCCTAGTACAAGTGAACCAGAAATGCAATTGAAACATAGAAATACGGACAATCACTTTTGATTCAATAACTCAGGCCGCAACATCCTTCGAGGAACCCAGTTACCCCCCGGGCATCTCGCTCCCACCACAGCATTGCGAGGACATCTAGGGACCCCTATTACCCTCTAGGCATCCGGAGGAACCCAGTTACCCCTCCAGGCATCCCAACTCTGGGGCATCATCGTCATAGGGACCGACAGAACAGTCACACTTACAATTCCACAAGTCTTAGCGTATACAGTGCAACAATTTAGAAATGTCATTTGCAATTGCTAATGCAAAGGAAACATCTCACTAGAAAGCTCAGAGTGTGTACATTACATCTCCAGGAGATATCAAATCGAGATTCCAACATTTTCACCTAAGAAATAGTGAATAATTGCAAAAAGGTAAAACTGGGCAGCTTTGCGCCGTTTTTGAAATCTGATTTAAATATATAGTATATGAACTCTAAAAATTCTAAATTCTGGATATGTCATACAAGATACTTGATAAACATTTTTCATGAGGACTTGAAGTCTAAATATTTTTGTAAATGCCCCGTTTAGTAGCTCAAAGTCAGACCAAAACTGGCCCTCTGGAACAGAATGATTGAACTTCAAGAAATACTCGTTTCGCAAACCAAACCTTTTCAAAACACTTCGAAAATTTTATACGTTGTAGACATGGATTTTTTTAACAACTTTTGTGAAGGAAGTATGTCCAATTTCGAACTGGAAATGTTTATAAAAATTCGAGAAGACATAAATGTCACTGATTTTACCGTACTGGACAGATTTAACACGGTGAGAAATAGGGTCTTCGTGCAACCCATTTGAACTCAGAAAAATCTGAATTTAAAGTATATTATACTCCAAGATGTTTTGAACAACTTTCATGAGAAATTTTCCCAAAATTCGACCCACAAAAAGCTCTATAAAAATGGAAAACGGTAATGGTTCAGCAGTACCGATTCTGGAAATCAAAGCAAAAGTTCAAGAAGCAACCCAAAACTTGAACCACACTAATTTTTGTTCAAGAAACCCCCAAACCAGAAGCTAACCTCCACATGCACTATCCATCTCCATCAAGATTCAGCAAAATAAGTTTAATTCACAACTTGAATCCACGAATAACGCATGAAATCACCATTTAAACCGAAAATTACACATGCAAGGCCGCGCCTACTCAAGTTCAAACCGAAAGTTGCACATGCAAGGGCCACGCCGAGCAATAACGGATTTACACAGCATAGATTAGAAAACATTTACTTGCCTATTGATACTCGGATTCCCGCGAATCTTCGTTGACTGACCGGCGTTCTTGCGGGCAGAGTGAGACGCGTCTGTGCGGTACAAACGTTGGCCGAGCGAGTGAGCATGAGTGGTGAGTGGCCGGGAGCGTGAGTGTTGCCCGAGATGAAGAAAACCGAAGGAAAGGAAGAAAGAAAGTTGCTGTTCCCTGTGAGCGTTCGAGAGTGTGGGCGACCGAGTGCAACGTGGGGAAGGCAGCGGCATGAGCAGGTGGCAAGAAGGAAGAAGAGAAACGGTGGTCAATGGGCTGCAAGGTGGCAAGAGGAAAGAAGAGGGAGTGGCAAGGTGGCTCAAGGGGAAGAGAAAACGGTTATGAGTGAGCATCGGAGAGCTAGGTGTCAAGTGGTGGTATGAATAGATGAAGTGATGTGGCTGATGGTGGCATCTATGGTGATGTTGGCGTGGAGGTTGGAAAATGAAAAGGAAGTGGCCAGCGGCACAAGTGGATAGGGATGTTAGCGGCTGCTGTCCCGGCGGTGATGGCGCAGCGTGGGGCGGATCGCGCGGTGGCTAGTGTGGCGATGACGTGGTGACGCGGTGGTGAAACTAGTGATGGCAATGGTGATGAAGCAGTGATTTCCGAACTTTCCGAAATTGACACTTCCCAACTTCCATCGATGAACGTTTTCGTCGGCACCATCCATTCGTTTACTTTGTTCGTTAAACGAACCGACGAAATTTTGGGATGTCACATCGCCCCACGGCATTGCTCAATGAAGGTATGCTCGACTCCGGTGCTCACAACTACTTGGATATTGGATGGCCACTTCGCTCGTCGATGATGCTCGTCATTAGAAGAGAGTACCACAACGAATAAGCATTGTTGAGTGTTGACATAATCGGGAAGTTACTAAAGATAAGACGACTAAAGACAACATAAAGGAAGAAAAGGCCAAATTAGGAAGAAAATGCTAAGGTTTGATTTAATTCCTTCTCTCTTGGTGGCTCTGATACCATGTAAATATTTTAGGAATTTCAAGAGAGAGGAAAAGAGAATCAATAAAGACTACATCTTTATTCAATTAGCTAAGTTATTAAAGGGTATTTATACTGAACAATATACATAAGAAAGGAATTTAACTATCTTAGGGGGATCGGGAAATATTAAATAAGATCCCTAATATTTAATAATATCTCTAACGATATTCTCTAACAAGGCAATCTCTAATCTCCATAAATATCCTTCATCGTACTCCAATTTTTGTGCTTCAGCTCACACATCTTCCTTCTAATCTCTATTCCACTTTCTTTCTAGGACATGAAGTCCATCACGGGTACTCGAGATCACAGTTACAGTGCTAAGTGGGTCAAGAATGGCAGTGACGTAATTTTTCTATTCCTCCGGGGCCAATGTGTGTACTAGCGAAAGAGAAGATTTCTTTACGGGAGGGTAACGTGAACGAAGATATTTTATGGTGCAGCCATTGGCCCATTCTCAGTCTCACCAAGCCTTCAACATTCAAACCCTCTCTCTCTCTCTCTCTCTCTCTCTCTCTCTCTGGGGCTCTACTGCTAGTAGTAAGTGCCAACCCTGTGGCGTGCAATTAATAACGAGGCGCGAGGCTTTCATTGATGCCAAGCTAAACAGGGGTTGCTTTTCACATCGTCAGGTCAGTGTCCGAGGGCTTTGATTCAGCTGGTTGCGTCTCTCACCATCTCATGCATCAGAATTAAATGCGAGGATCGCGTTGCAGGATCCGATTGCCGATTGTTATCGATTCTGCAGGTTCCTCAGCTGTGCTGCTTCGTGAAGTAAATTGCAGTTAACTCCTCCATTTGAAATAGCCAACGCAGTCCAGTTCCGGCAGAGAAGAAGGAAGAAGAAAGAAAAGATGAGACCCAAGATTTACATCTTTGGCGACTCCATCACCGAAGAGTCCTTCGGCGGCGGTGGTTGGGGGGCTTTGCTTGCCCACCATTTCTCTCGGACGGTAACAGTTTCCTCGTCTGGTTTTTTCGTCTTTATAGAGGAGAAAGATAAAATGAATTTAATTCGTGACGTAACTATTGTTTTTGTCTCGCTTGTCTTGGAAAAACGCTTCCTTCGAGTGTCGTGGCCTCATATTTGATTGTGATATATACTGATTTAGTTCTTTATTCTTCTATTTTGGAAGTTTATATTAAGTGATTTAGATTGATTAACCCTAAGTTGAATGTGGATCACTTAGGCGGATGTGGTGCTGAGAGGGTACAGTGGCTACAACACGAGGTGGGCTCTGAAGGTGCTGGACAAGGTTTTCCCAGCGGCGGGCGGCAGCGACGACGCGCCACTCGCGATCACCGTCTTCTTCGGGGCGAACGACGCTTGCCTCCCGGATCGGTGCTCCGCCTTCCAGCACGTGCCCCTCCATGAATACAAGCAAAACCTCCACTCCATCATCTCCACTTTCAAGGTACGTTACCATCTCTGTGAATTTTCTTGTCCCCTATAGTTGTCGATGCACGCACATACCCACTTGGCCTCGTTGTTCCTAATAAGTTTAATTAAGTGGCATCAGTCGCATACGAAGAGACGACGGTGTGATGAAGTGGATGGTGCAGGTAGGGACAAGAGAAGTGACTGGTTGGAGGGAGTGGCTTCTATATAAAGAGATAAAATAAAACTTATATCATAAGACTGACGACGTATGTTTTAATATTTTTAAGGCTTCTATTCCTAGAGTATGGTGCACATGTAGACAACATTATTGTTGGCAATTTTGAATTTCCTAAAAACCATACAAACTATAATTATTCACAAAATTCATTTGTAAAGGGATATAGCCAACTCGCTTAGATGCTTGAGCATGTTCAAGTTATTTTAACAGTTATTTATAGTTCGGCACATTATTTTTTGAATCCATTCCTTTTTAACTATGTTGTATGACTTCTTTCTAAAAATCAAAATGAGTTTAAAGTCCAAATATCCTCCATGCATCTGATGTGTTTGGATGAGGGGACGATGGATTAGGGATGCTTGGAACAGTAAAAAAACTGAGGTTGTTAAATTATTATGAGTCCTCAAATTCTCGTCGTTCTAGAAACTATCGACGACAAAATGATAAACTTGAAACTGACTAATAACAATATCATTCTTGTATCTTATCTTAAATTTGTAGAGATTGAAAAGTGTTGGGCTCAACCTAATTCCTATCGTTCTCTTCTACCCCTTTCCTTGACTTCCATTTTACGTAAAAATCCCACTACAAAGTGAAAGTGGAATGCCTCACCTTTTCACCTTCTTTCTTCTTTCTGACACCTCCACCCAAAATTAATCCCAAAAGAAAAAAACCAAAAAAGTCCACCCAAAAACTACAGTGGCCATAACTGGGGGAGGTGTTATTTATGACTAATGCTCGCATGCGGCTCATACGGGGTGGGTTAACGTAGGTCGGGAGTACCCATAAGCATCTTAGTGAATACATCCCCGAGTTTTAGTGGTTGGTCTAGGAAAAGAAAGATGTGAGCAGATCAAGATCGTTAAACAACAGGTCTTACAAGTTTCATAGATTTATGTGGTTTCTTTCCACCTATCAACTTAAGTATTTTTGTTGGACTTTCTAATATGGTATGAGAGGTAGTGCTATTGTATCCACCCCTATTAGTCAAATTAGTCAAATTCCAGGTGCAGCTCCAAATCTGGCTTTGCACGTGAGATGGGTGTTGAAATATAGTCCTGCATCGTTTGACAATGGTTTAAATTTTGGGTTTGGACTTTCTAATAAAGATCATGGATCGAAAAATTTGTTAGCATATGGTTCGGATGAATGCATGTTGAGATCATTTCGATAAACATGACATGATAAGTCTAATGAGATCTATCAGGTTCAAATGATTCGATGTTTTTGAACGCGTGCAATGGTTTTTCTAATTTATATAAAAAGGGATGGTGCCAAAAAGACTATGGGTGCGTGAGGCCCAGTTGTCGCTATTGATGTTTCCCACGCACCCTCTGCTTCTATGAAAATGGGGCTCGATTCATCTTTTGGTGGTGAGATCAAGCTCGAGTGCAAGAGCAAGCGCCTGTCATTCTCACTGCCCTCCTTTTTGACAAAAAGTCGAGAGATTGCATCGCATCGCAATTAGTGTAGTTGGATGGTCCAGCCTATCACGAGATCTTTTCTTATCAAAAGAATTGCATGCTTAGGATCATGAGCGTGGTTCCTTTTGTTGATTTAATTATTTGACTCATTCTATAGGCTCGGTGTTGATGAGCTTTATGATGTCAATGGACCCACGATTTTGGTGTTTACAAGAATGGCTCATAGTGCCTTAGGGATGGCGAAAAATCCCCGCCCGTAGGGTGGTGTGGGGGCAAGACAGAGGACGAAATCGCTGCCCACGCGAGGCATGGGGTGGGAATAGAATCTCCCCACGGTCCCGCCCCGCTCTTGCTGCTCGGCATTGTCCACATTTTCTAGCTCTCTTTTTTTGGCTGTCTTTCGTCATGAGCTATAATGTTATTACTAAGTTTCATTCACCATATATCTCTCTGACCTCATCTAGAATTTAACAGATATATTTGCTAACAGCATCTCTTAATATCTCGTTCCTTTGAAGTTGTTTCATGCTCCTCGCCTTGCCCACGTCAAAGATCATCCCGCACGGGGTGTGTGCCGGGCTACTCTTTTGAGGCGCGGGGGGAAGGTTGACCCCATTGCCATCCCTACATTAGCGAGTTGGTATGGTTTTTAGAACAGAGAAACCGTGAAATTGTCTTTGTCCCTCGATGACATGGTGGTCTTGGCCAGGAAGTATTTTACACACTCTAAGTCTAACCATATCAGTGTCGTCTTGGTGATGTTGTTATCTTGTATTTGATTGATTCTGACCGCCACTTTTCTCAAGAAGCGCAATATAACTTCTCTTGTTCTGAAACATGGTGGTCTGATTTGAGTTGGTCAGTGTTACTGGGTTCCCATTCTACTAGCAGCTTCATAGTAATTGTTATTTCAGTGCTTGGCCATTCAGTCTTTTCCAATTAGGTTAATTTTACATATTTGAAGTCACTGTCCCGATAGATTAATTGATCTACAGTTATATGATTGATGATTTCTTTAGGATTAAAAAACATCAAGTTTAATTTTTTTATTAGGCATGGCTAATCAAACTTCTTATGCCATGTGATTTAAATGTGCACTTTATACAATTCAAATAGCAGGTGATGTTTGGTTACAGTCTTCAAGGACACTTAAGTATTTGTTTTCCATTGATAAAGTAATGAACCCTGGGACTGACAGATGTATTGTGATCATCTTATCACTCTTAAATGGCTACTCAAGCAAGGAACTGCGAATGCGCAGTATTAGCATGATTAAAGCTACAAAATATGCATACATAATTACATAAATAAATAAATAAATATATATTTATGGGCTTCTTAAGTGAATAAGTTTTTTAGAGCTTGTTGATCTGAAAACCCTAATCCCTATATGCTTCATGCAAAGATGACCTAGGAGGGATCATGTATTCATGGTCATAATTTGCTCAATGGCTGTTGTGCTTTCCCCTTCAATCTGTTGCGTGAACTGGCTTCTGCAGTTGCAGAAGTATTGAACTGAATTCGAAGCTTCCTACACCATAAATATTATCTAAAATGAAGATCCGTGGACCAAGTTTGTTAGTCTCTAAGAGACTAATCAAGTAGAATTCCCTGATCCTAAGTTTTGTTCCGTTTTTATTAATTGTAAATGGAATAAGCTAAGCATCATGTAATTGCGTTCCTGATATTCTCCTCAGTTTCATGATCTCTTTCGTTTACCAATTTTCAGAAGCGATGGCCCAAGACCCAGATTCTTCTCATCTCTCCTCCTCCAATCGATGAAGATGCTCGCCTCAAGTACGTATTCTTTGGCATCTAAAGTTTCAATGCTTCTCATGCACTTACTGATGTTGTGTACTAATATTACTTTTGCCTTTGGGTCATTACTGGTGTTGTGCGGTGACATATGTCCATGTGCTGAATTTGGTGATTTGACTTGTCTAGAAGTAGCTTATGATGGAGAGAGCTTTTGAGTAGAATTCGATGGTGATGCAGATTTCCTTATGTCGATAATCCGATGGGCATGCCTGAAAGAACTAATGAAGCTGCCGGTGCGTATGCTAAAGCTTGTGTTTCTGTAGCAGCGGAATGTGGGTTTCCAGTTGTCGATCTCTGGACCAAAATGCAACGGTTCCCAGATTGGGGAAAGGCCTGTCTAAGGTACTATACTAGTCTACACAACATATCTATTTCAGTCAAAGAATTAGAATGCAATTTCGCATGTTGTGGCCACATTCTTGCGACATTCCGGTGGTTCAAAATTCTACATGGTGACGGCAGAAAGTGTTAATTGCTCTTATCATTGTGATTTCTTTCTATTCTTCTAAAGTGTAAACATACTGCATATGCGCTGAAAAAAAATTACGGATATAATGGACTCTTCTCCAGAGAGAGCAGATTTTACTTTAATTGAAGAGAGAGGGTGGGTGTCCATGTAAATTTAAATCAATTTTTAGGGTTAATTTGCTGATTATGTTGTTCTAGTCGGCAGATTGCCTGCTTCCAGAAAGAATTAGGCTTTTATTTCACGAAAGACGTTGGACTGGTGACAATCGTACAATATGCCGAGTTTGAAGTGATTACTCAATATGTTCTCATTGACCCGATATCTGCCTTGAGTAAATAATATTATGCACCCGTCTTTTTATGTAATTGTTAGTTCGTATTTTTATGTACTTTTTGCAAACAAAAAATGCAGGGATGGTCTACACCTTACACAGACTGGGAATAGGATTGTGTTTGATGAAGTGATCATGAAGCTGAGGGATGTGGGCTTGAGCTTGGAAAGCTTGCCAGTTGATCTCCCCTTGATTAGTGATATTGATCCAAGCAATCCCCTCAAATCTTTTGAAAACTGAAAAAGACTTTTGTTGTAGCTTGGGTCAATTTGCTTCTTTGTATTAGGGTTTGGATAATACCAACACTATCTTCATGATCTGTCATGGTCTAGTCTTTTGTAGAGGACAGTTATTTTGGTCAACTATGATGCCTAGTTTCCGAATATTTATGATATGAGTGCTTGTACATCAATAAATGTGGATCATAGTAATTCTGTACCTCATGCGGAGACCGACCTCATCAATGGATCTATAAGTACATTGGATGGGATCCATAGTCATATTTGGTAATCTAAATCTCCAAACTTGCTCACTAAACGTTGATACTTGTCCACTCCATTGGTTCCTCGCCCACATCCGATCCAAAGCTAAACACTAGACCATCCAACCCTTCTCGCCGTCCGTCCCTCTATCACTCTTATCATCTACCTCAACTGCCATGACTCAATCGCTATCCTCTCTCTCTCTCTCTTTCTCTCTCTCTCTCTCTCTCTCTATATGAAGTCTCGATATTGCATATGACATCTTGGTCGAGGTTTTGTCGTCATTATCGGGATCTAGCTGAGACATTGAGGGTGACACAAGATTTGGCGGAGGCACCTCCCCCGGAGCTCCTTTGCATCAAAGAGCCTCGTGCACAGCGACAAGATAGAGCCAATGTGATGCGACAAGCTTCATCATGGCCAACTAGCTCGATGCTAGTGCATGATCTGTAAGTTAATGTGTGCGTGCCAACAAAGCTTCATCATGGCCAACTACCTAAGCTCGATGGTGAGATTTAATTGTTTCCCAATAATTTGACCCACTCTTCTATCAATGACCTCAGGAGGAGGCTTATTAAGTTGCTTTCGCAAGATAAACAGGCTCATAACGGGAGAACTATTGAAGAATTAGCAAAGTGCCCTAGAAGTACCTGTTTTCATAATTCCCCGAGCAAGACACCCTTATTCTCGATCAGAAAACAATGATGTTACCAACACCGATCGAGATTCATCAATAGTGTACAAGAAAAGAAAATTGCAGAACTGCTATGGAAAAGTTGTCCCATTTTCTTCCGCGTGAGCTTCTTATTCACAACTGGAACTCTTATAAAAAATTTGTACCAGATAATCACGAATTGTCACTTGTTTTGTTCTAGATCTTAATACTTAAAACTCTTCCTAATCTTGAGCTCTAAAAATGAAGCTCGAGAATCATATTTTTAGTGACAAAAAATCGAAGTGCAGAAAGATGCAATCACCATAATTAAGCATGTTTGGATAACTATTTCTCCCAAATGCTGGAATTTTAATGACAATAAACCGAAAATCTGTTCATGTGAATTTCTGAATATATTCCGGATACGTTACTTTTGCACTGTAATTTGCTCTTGCATTGTCAACTTCACTAACGAGATCATTCACTCGGACAATATCAACTCAATATGAAATTAAGTAAAGCTTAGCAACCATAAGTAGATCGAAGTCTTTGAATTTCAGCTCTCAACAGCTTCATCAAGCCATGCCATGGGAGCTGCACCGGACTCTCTATTCTCATCCATGTCCCCATATGGTATCTCCATATTTTCGAAGCTAATCCATACGGATGCAATTTATTTTTAAAGTTGTGGTTCAGTACATTAACAGTTGAAGTTGTTGAGAAACCATTAAAGGCATGATATGGAGACAGAGCATCTTCGTCCCATTCTAGGAAAAAGTTGGAGGTATATAGTGATGTTGAGGGTTGGGTCCTTCCGGTGCAACCCTATCCGTGTCCATCATTGCCCTTCTTTTGCTCGGCTTCACGTTGAGAAACCCTATTTTGCGAAACAAGGACCGGCTATCAACCCTGTCAACCGTCTTCTCCATGGCAGACTGAATCTTCTAGGCTAAGCTTACAGGGAAAGCAAACTATTTGAATCGAGAACAATTTGGAAATTGAAGGACCTACCCATTTGGCACCTAGACAAACAATTATGATCTAACTCTTTTGTCTAATTGAAGATGCTGTCATGGGTTCGAGCATTCATCTGGGTCACAAAACCTAACTGGCTAATTGTATTAGTCCTTTATATTTACCAGTCTACATACATACATACATACATACATACATACATACATACATACATACATGCATGCATGCATGCATATGCATATACAAAGCCACGTAAGTATCTGCCACCGTATGCATATCCAGTTATGTGGAAAGGCAGATCAAGACTAATGCTTCTTTGACTTTGATTTCGGATTATTGTGACAATAACAGACAAAATCTGTCTATGGATAAATTGCTTTCGAATGAGGAGTGGCGAGCAAAACGACAAGACAAATTGCATAGTAATGCAGCGGGCGGCGCAACATCTGTTTCCCTCTTTTTGCTTTCGCTATTTTTCTTGGTTTATTCAAAGGACATTAGCTCGTGGATAAGCATATCTTCTAACACAACAGCCGTTTTACACATAAGAATTGCATAATGAAAAGTAGTTAAGACAGTTGGCTTTTAAAACAAGCCAAATCTAATCATATTCAAGTTATGGAATTTGTTGTGTATGCGATACTGCCTTTTCGACTTGATTCAAAAGGTGCATCAAAGCGTGACAATTACCGTCACTAGTTTGTTATAGATTGTGCAAGTCTAATTGTAGGACAATCCCGAATTTTCTTCACTAGATAAAAGGAAATCGTCCGGTTATTCGCATATGCAAGTCTTATAAATCTTGTGGGATCGTTGCCAATTGTGCTAAATGCTTAAGTTGTTAAAGTGAGGAGTATGTTAATATATGAGTGATTGACATTACTTCTCACGCCTGAGCTGAGATTTGACATAAAGATCAGAGCGTGTAAATATGAAATGGAAAATGCCATTGTTACTAAGATTAGTTTCCATAATTGACGTACTAGTTGATGGGTCAAAGTGTTATAAAATTGTCAAATATAATCCATTAACAAGCTAACACATTATTTAGTAAATCAATTTTATAGACTTAGCAAAGTGCCTTAGTGGTACCTATTTTTCATGATTTCCCCGAGCAAGACAAAACCCCCTTCTCGAATGGAGGAGGTAGTTTGGATCATCTGACTTAGAATCACATGCTTGCATCACGGATTGCTTCATAGGTGTTGACACCAAAAAATGATCAAGTCCTTTTAATTGACATGATGCCGACTTAAATGAATATAGCTTGGTGTTTAATGCAATTTAATTATCAACAAGTTATCGATGGTGGAAACACTTGTCGATGACTATGATTATCGATGACCATGATACAGGTATTGACTTACGATGGTGGTTGACAATGGTTACTTAGCAAATTTGAATGTGTTGAATGCAAAAACTGAAGACAAAGTGACGATGCCAAGATGAAGATATAGATTTGCGGTTAAGTCCAGTGGTAATTGAGGAGTCCTAACTACTTATGGATAATGTTGACGTGCGATCATGGAGCTTAAAATTATGGAGATGCAGTTGTAACCATTAATTTGAATATTAATAGCTTGTAAGTGATTACACTTTGTAATAGACTATATAAAGCCGTGTTAAATTGTTGTAAAAGGATCCACGATCATCCACACAAATATATGTGTATTTTCTCGGTTATCAATTTTTTAGTTTTCAGTACTTACATTTATCTTTCCTTTAGATTTAGTTTGATCATTGTTAGGCAATTCACTTTCTATCTGAATTTCTACTGAATCTGATTCAATAAAAACCATTGATCATCCTTTGGTGAAAGGTATTTCGCTACTTGGGTCAATTCTGGGTGAACAATAGGGAATCGGCAAACGAGAGTGAACATTTCCTCTTCAAAATCTGTAGGATTCTGAAACGAAAGCGATAATAAACCATGGAGAAAAAGCAGAAGAAAACAATGATGATACCAACGGCGATAGAGACTCATCAATAGAGCACAAGAAAATTGCAGAACTGCTATGGAAAAGTTGCACCAGATAGTCACGTATTATGACTCATATTCTATTCTAGATCTTAATGCTTAAAACTCTTCTTCATCTTGAGCAACAAGAGAATGCTCAAGAACCACGTTTGAACGACAAAAAAAAATCCTAGTGTGGAAGGATGCAATAACCAAAAGCGCCAGCAACTCTTATAACAAGATAATGAACCTTTGTGGTTAATTAAGCATGTTTGGATAAGTATTTCTGCCAAATGCTGGAATTATTGTGACAAGTAGATCAAACTCGTAAAATTTCAGCTCTCAACAGCTTCATCGCCATGCCATGGGAGCTGCAGCGGATCCTCTATCTTCATCTGTGTCCCCATATGGTTTCTCAATCATTTCGACGCTAATTTATATGGATGCAATTTATTTTTAAAGCGGTGGTTCGGTACATTAATAGCTGAGGCTGTTGAGACACCATTGGAGACATTATATACGGATAGAGGATCTTCATCCTGTTCTACGAAAATGTTGGAGGTATATAGTGATGTTGAGGGTCGGGTCCTTCCGGTGCAGCCCTCTCCGTGTCCGCCAATGCCCTTCTCTCGCTCGGCGTCACGTTGCGAAACCCTAGTTTGCGAAATAAGGATGGGCTATCAACCCTCTTCGTTATGGCCTTTCGGTCAAGAGACAACGTTATTCCTTCAAGACCACTCGCATGCGCCGAGACAATGAGTAGGATCAATGCAGAAACTCGCATTGTTGCTAGTAAATTCGCCATTCTCTCGCAGAATTGGTACGAGCTTGAACGTGATAACAAGCAAAACACTGTAGTAATGAAGGATTATCTAGGAAGACAAGCCGATGAATAATTCACGTAGATTGCCAGTATATATAGTGAACATGCGAGAGAAGACCCTTAAGAGAGTTTAATCATGCCTGAAGATGGGACAACCTTATTGTGTCGTTTCCCTGAATGGAGATTTCAGATGGCTTTATGTGACGATTGTCGTCAACGTATACTTTTGTCTTCTCTTTATCTTTCTTCTCCCTCCTTGTTACTAAAGTATTAGAGCATGTCTTTCTCCATTCTTTGCAGCGATATTCTCGTGGTGTCTGTCTAGTCACGATTGAAGTTAATGCTGATGATTGGGCTCGAATCTCAGCCGACACTACCAAATGGCAAAAAGGCAACAGGGCCTTTGATCTTGAGGCAAAGAAAAAAAAGGGTCCATTTGCATATGTGGCCGCACGGACAATGGAAGGGGCAAAAGGTGCTTTCATTTTCATAAAGATCGGTCATCCGTATGTTGACGGTTTTACTCAAATTTTGGATTCTGCTTAG